AATTAATCAAGCAGAAAAAATTCATCGTGTGCTATTGGATTTGAATTAAAATCTTTAATTAAAGAAAAATGAATTATATACTTATTATTATTATTATATACTTAATTTATATATAATACTTAAAATATTATATATATATAATTATTATTATACTTAATATTATTATTATTATTATCATTATTATTATAGTAATAATATATAATATATTTAATAATATTATATATAATATAATATATAATAATATATATTATATTATTATTATTTATTTTAATTTAAGTTTTCAGTATATTTTACAAGTTGATTCCATCGACTTGTAAAAGACTACTGATGGAAATTCTAACGTAAAATTTCCACTAAACCGTTTTGTGTGATAATGTACTACATTATCTGACGTAGAAAGTTAATACGTGGCTGGCAACAATCACGGCCAACAGCTGACCGACACGCGGTGCGCTCCCATTAATTTCGACGCTGAACGAAAGCCGCGCGAGACGCATCGGTGATTCCGCAGAATTTTCAAAGCCTCCCAAACGATGGCACGGAGAGAATTTGCAAAGAGAGAAAGGGAGATAGAGACCGACTCGCGGAGACGTTTGTCCTTTTATATTTGGGACATATGCTGCCAGGTGCTCACACCGATAGCCAAAGGGTAGAGTTTCGAGTTTTCTTACCTTATTCCTCGCGGTTTCTTCATTTCATTTCGTTCGATGTTTCTCACTCTTTTTCTTCTTCCCTGACAACGTCAGCTGTCGATCATCTTTTCATCCGACTTTACTTTCCTCCGTTGCGGGGTAACGATCGTGCCTGCAAATGATAATAGCATGTATGGTGTTATGACAAGAATGCAAGTGCAAGAATGCAAGAAGAAATACGTATGACAGTTTAAGAATATATGAACTACTGTTCATACGTGTACAAAGTAATGATAAAACTAGCATAACAATATATTTCTTAAAAATAAAGGTTTTTATTAATATAGTATATCAGTATTATATTAATGAATATATTAATATTATAATGTTATTATATTATAATGTATTAATATATATTTTACCCGCTTTTTTATTACTGGTTTTCGATGGAATTACACTTTCAAAGGTTCGTAAAAATTGCTATTAAAAAAAATATTAAACAATATTTTACACTTCATATTTTTTTGCTAGAATATAAAAATACTCCAAGTGACTATTCTCGGATTAACGTCACAAATGAGGAAATATAACGTTATTATCCCATTTATTATTGAAAAAAAGTAATTATAACGGTAACAATATAAGTATAACGCGTTACTTTCCAGTTTTAAAACAAACCTTAAATTTCTATCCCAAAACGCTATAAATCTTGTGAACACTGTTATTAAATTAATATTAGTTTCAAAAAATAATATAACATATGAGTTTTATTCTTTTTCAATACTTCTATCAGTTTTTTTGCGTATTGAAAAGGATTAAAATAATGAAACCAACGGCTCGATTGCAACGATAACATATAACCGTCCAGAATTTCTAAAAATCGTGAACACGCCGTCCATTAGATTGATCATAAAACCGTGAAAAATGATTGAGCCAGTAATTGTCTTCGGTATAAGTTAAAGTTGTGGTATTAGCTACATCCTGGCGTGGAACCCCTGCAGATCGGTTTCTCCCTAATTTTTGACGATGCTCCGACGTCACGGTGTACCCGGGGACCCCGCTTGTTCCGGTCTGCTTGACCAGGACCGGAAGCGGGAGTCCGATGGAGAGCGGGAGGGACTCAAAACTCGAAATCCCCCACGGATATTGACGTTCCCGTATTTAAACGAGGAGGAAGTCGGCATTTCCTCAGAGATCCAACGGCTGCGCCGAAACGAGAACAGGAGGAACGATTTACGCTCCGGAGGATAGCATCTCGGTTTACGCATTAATATCTGAGCGCTATAAAGATTTGCGTGGCAGATTTCTCGGCAAGCAGACTCGTTTCTCAAATCTTATATCGAATATTCTTTATTATAAAAAATATTCCTTGTATCAATGGATAATAAGCACGTCAATTTCGCAGGCTGCGTTACAATATCACGTTGAGAAGTAATCACGGAATAATCAGGGAGCAAAGCGCGTAATAATCAGCAATAATAGCCAAACAGCTGCCTCCCGTGAACATTACGTGGAAAAATTTCAAGAAGCAATCACAAAACAGTAATGATCATTACGGGCGCTGGCTCGTGGTGGTCACGGTGTTCACCTGTCCATGATGGAGCATACAAGAGCATACGATGCCGCATGTGCACGCATACGCATCCACTTCGTCGACGCTGCAATGCGCCCTATACTTTTCTGTAACGGTCGAATTTACTTCCGTCGTTCGGCTGGTCGTGATATAGAGAACCATGACTTGAGCGAGCAGCGCTTATCACTCGATATCGTGCGAGACATTTATAATTATGCGTCTGCTCTCGTGATGACAGCAACGTACGTCACGCTTTATTTCATGTACATAGCACATATATGCGCTTATTTAATGTTTGCACATACATTTATATTATCTCAAAGAAAAAAAAGCGGGCCAAGACAAACAAACAAAAAGTGTCAAATAAGAATAAACATAAATTTTATTTTAAAACGTAATGATAATGAGACACTTTCAATTCTTTTTCAGCTAAAAGAAATAAATCACAAAATACAAAGTGTAGTCATATATGAATAAAAAATTGAACAAAAAATGAAAAATACAAAAAAAACAAAAATTCAAAAAATGTTGACTTTCTAGCAACCAGTTTGAGCGTTCTACATAACTATTTTCAGGTTTATAGCCAGTTAAATTTCTAGTTCTCGTTTAACAATTGTTCTTTCCGTGTAGTATAGATGATTTTTCTTCTTGTAACTTCTTCAAAGAACTTAGCGCGATAGGAAAAAGAAGCCTTGTCTCGATAAAAAATATAAACGCATCGCAATCCGCAGTTCGTGGTACTGATCACGTTTTTCCATGAATGAACTAAATCATCATTAAATCGATTTTTTTTTTGGAGAAAAAAAAAGGAACTGTAACGCCTAAGGGTCAGAAGCGAAACCTTAGTTTATTCTTTATATCTTGAATGTTTAGTTTATTCTTTATATTTTTAGTATCGTATATAAAAAGCGCCTTACCATATTGAATCATGTTGACTCGCTATACAATATCCAATATTCATGAAAAATGTATAGAATAGGCAAAAAGTAATGTAAAACATGATTAATTGGTTAGGCAATTTAAAAGCGAGATAACAAGGAGATTTAGCAGGAAAGGTATAAGATATTAATCTCACGAAAAAATACTAAACAGGCATATAATACGATGCACCCTTTATGTCACAGGGCTAATCATATGCAGACTACACGATTACGATTATGGTGGCTCGTTTATAAGTCACTTCTGTACTAAAACTTCTATGTGCTCGAGAAAGCGATTGCGGCAATTTTCGAAGGGTGATTCTCTGCCTGGAACTTGCTTTCACTTGGTCTCTCCCTCTCGTTCTCCGGCTGCTTCACCTGCTCGGACGGCCGTTTTTTCTTCTTGCTGCAGAACGCCCGACTTCCCGCAAAAATGCTCAGAGCAATCGTGCTCACGACAATTGGACGAACTGTCCTGCAGTTTCATCAATGCGTGCGATTACAGAATCAAAACCATCTATTCTTCCAAAAAGCTTCCTAGAGAAATATTATTCAATTCTAAATCTTATCTCAAACTGGAACTGAATAAAAAAACAAACTTTCTGTATCAATTTATATAGCGTCAGGTTCGATCTAACATTTTTTCAAAATAATGTCTATAAAAGAATTAAATAAAATAAGAGTAACAATTTCACCAAGAAAAATAATAATAATGATAATAATAATGTAAAAACATAAAAAATAATTAGAAAGGTAATTTTTGAATTGTTTCTTTTATGAAAAGTCAAGTTTAGAAAGAAATGAGAAAAAATTGTTTGTAAATTATGTATAATGATTTATATATAATTTATACATCAATCATTTTTTCTCATTTCCCCAAACTTAGCTTTTGCATTGTGTGAAACAACGCAAAAATTATCCTGTTAATTATTTTTACGTTTTTCTTCTTATTATTATTTTTCTTACATTAAAAAGTAATTTTACAAAAGAAAGAAGAATATATAATCATATTTCAAACAAATTATATACATGTTTATATATATGTATATGTTTGTATATAAATTATAATCCTTATATATATATATATATATATGGTATATGTTCTTATAAAAATTTTTACTGAACAATTGAGAATCAATTAAAGAAACAAATTTTAAATATCTAGTGATTTGAATAAAAATGAAGAGATCAATTTACGGATATCAATGATAAAAAGAGAATCTTTCCATGATAAGGCGCACCAACGCAATTCGCAAAAAAGCTCGGCAGAAGAAAGATCATTTCGAATCCTATCGCGACACGCTCGAACTACGATCGTGATCATCCTATACGGCGCGTTACTTAGAAAAAAGGCAAAAAGTGCGCTTCATGGTGCGCGCTCACTCTTCTCTACCACGAAAGATCGCTTAGCATAATCCGTTGGACGATTTCGAACAAACGCGGTGGTGAGGGTACACGTGGAGAACATACGCACTAGAGAAAGAGCACGCGATTGGATGTCGTCGTGCGTACGACGAGGACGTTACTATGCTAAATTCGCGCCATTTTTACTGCGCAACTGGCACGGCGCGCCAATCAGATTTGAATTCAAACGTTTGGTGGAAGGGAACACCGGACCTCGTGGCTTGTTCAAACGGACTCGTCGACTGGCTCCCACCGCTTGGAACGATTCCACATCCCGCCAGAACTAGTCTGACCGTGGAGCAGTGAGGACCGAGGGTCGATTGGTCGGAGTTGCTAGACGTCGCGCGAGTCCATGAGGAGCGACCGTTCAAGAAGAAAACTTCACAGAAAAGTCGAGTGGATCAACAGAATTTACACAGCCAAGAAGTTTCCCGTTCTTCCGGAATACACCGTACGCTCTTGGTATTAAATTGAAAACGGAAAAGCGAGTGAGTACGTACTTTGAACTGGAAAACAAAAGTCCCCGGGGATCTGCTTGCTCGACTAACGTACGGTGGAAACACAACAAGTACCCGAAATGCTGGCAGCCTCGATTTGTCACGAAATCTACTACACGGTGTTGCCCAGTACGACGATGACCTCACGAGTACCACGCTGCCTCTTCGGCCGGCCAAATCCGCGAGAGACGATAGAGATGCTCCAGGAGGCACTGGACGCGGAGAGGAGCAAGTTCGCCAAGAGATGGGGAGTGGATCCTCGCTCCGAGGATAAGGAGAATAATTACCAGAGGCGGAACACTGAGAAGAGCGACCGGTCGCCCGGCAAAAGGCGGAGTAATCCGTATTCAAGGCAGACCAGCATTCACGGTGAGCAACATTTCTCTTCTCGCGAAATATCAATGCGCGAACTTTATCGACGAGCCTTGGCGGCAATTTAGGCGCGCGAACGCGTCGCGTGCGTATGTCCGCGGAATATGCATGAAGGAGCATGAGTCATACGTTCGACAAGTTTCCCTGGATGGGCAACAAGCGTGAATTTCGCGGGATGCATGTACCGCGCGCGAAAGTAGGTCGAACCAATACCGTCTTCTTCGATTTAACGCGCGCGAACATAAATCTAAAAATATCTCTTATAAGATTTCTTCTTTGCGATTCAACTATTGTGTACTTGTTGCACTTAAAACGAAATAGATATATTTATTTTAAGTTTGACGAAAATGAGATAGAAAGTTTTAGTGCAGCGACAAAAGGACACATCTATAATTCAATATGGCATGCCGCTGTAAGTTTATTGAGGTGGGAACAGAATTATGTAACGATTCTCACGCAGTATGGATATTCGGATACTTACGACTTAAAATTTATCGTCGAAAAAAATCAAATCAACTTTCTTTAACTAACAGACTGCTATTTAGCCCGCTGAATAACACTAGAACGAATCTATTGCTGTGGCGTCGTGGAACGAAGGCTTTTTGGCGGGAAAGTCATGACGACGAAAGGGAAGCCGGAGGCGCAGACGCGACCTGGTCGCGTGGCTCTCCGACCTGTTTTCTTATTCTAAACCCGCCGCCTCTCTTCCGCCTTCTCTCCACCTCTCTTCTCTATAGCCGTCCCTCGCCAGAATACTCCCGGCTACCGTCTTACGCTCTCCTTTGACCAACCTTCCACCCTGTCGTTTCTTACGCCAGAAGCACGCGTCGTAAACGGGTCGCAGACCCGTTGCAGATAATCCAAGTGGTCTAAATTTCGGACTAAAGATCAAGAATTTGTCGTTTCCTCTTCTAAAAGGCGATTTACAAATACATAATTTCCGTACATTTTATTACTAGTTCTTCAATCAATTAAAAATTTTTTTAATAAATAGAATATACGAACAACGATTTAAAAAATTTTTTTAATTGTTTATGAACAATTTCTACGATCTTCGTCGATGGATTTTTTAATTTTTTAATTTGAAGTTAAATAAGTGTAATACATATTTGAAAAATTATATATTTATAAATAAATTATATAATTATGAATATATTTAAAAATATTTTATCCAAATGTGGAACATTTTGAAATGTTAAACTATTCAATAAAAAGTAATTAAATTGTGTTATTAAATATAGTTCTTAAATATAGTTATTGAATATAGTTATTAAATACAGTTTTGTTAGAAAAATTTGTTTTACGATAGTAAAGCACTACTTTCTTTTCTACATAATTTTATCTTATTCGAGAAGATATTCAATGGCTTCTATGGAACAACCAAATATATCTACGAAAAAATACTCGCGTTATCACGAAAAGATAAGTGGACACGTGTGGTGTATGATCGTGAGAAGCGATCGGTCGCCAGTCCATGCAGGATTAGAGAAAGAACGTCGTGATCGGGAATGAGATCACGCCTATGAGTCATGCATCTAAGGCGGGCGTGACACATACCTGTAGGACACTGTGAGTCATCGAAGGGCCAATTTCCAAGGAGTAAAAGAAACTCGTGATTGCATTCCTTGGATTCTTCAGGCATGATACAATCAAGTCCACTTTTCTCATCTTATCGCATGAATTCTTGTGCACAATGGACATATCATTTCTTCGACCAAGTGCAAAATATTGCATGTTTCTGTATATGAAATCAATATGACCGATCAGATTGCATGTGCAATGTGCACGCCCTTAGATTGAATGTGCCTTGACGGAAAGAACAATTTCTTGAAATATCTAAAAATTTAGATGGATCTGATAATAATTTTGTTGTACTATCAAAATAATTAGAATGCTCGAGCTGGTTGTTAAACTATCAAAACTTTTTACAACATTGCTCATCATACTTGAGTTTCCTACATAATTATTTTGATAGTGCAACAAAATTATCTTCAGATCTACATCTAGCAAAATTTTTAGATACTTCAATAAAATTGTTCTTTCTGTGCTTTGAGAGACAAATTTCTAAAAAAAATGTTTATTTCTCGATCAGCGTGTAGAATGGCTCTATCTAATACCCTTTTTGAAATTATATAGGAATTCATAATGGTTCACAAGTTAAAGAAATCGTTCGTACGTTGAAACACGCGTATGCGATAATCTTACCTATGGGGTGGGGAAACCTATGGTTTCTCAACCTCGGAGATCCTGTGCCTATTTGCACTGATAATCCCTCACGCACGATGACTTTTTGGGCTGGAACACAACGAGACCCTCGAAAATTCAACAGAGCGAGACGGCGCAACCAGCTCTTTTTCCACCGACACCTGTTAGCCCTTGCTAAGGGCCCATGACGACTAGAACGTCTTTTCCCACGATTAAATCAGACCCGCGAACACGCGATACCATGCCGCGCGGGACCTTACGAAGGTCGCGCACCACCTGCTGAGACAAGTTGCATTTGATGCAAATACAAGGACCAAATACACTAATTCGCACTTCTCTATGTATCCAACATCTTTAAGAACAAAATTTTTTTATTAATCTCATGATATAAAGTAGAACACACACACACACACACACACACACATACACACACACATTTAGTTTTTTCTAATATTTTACTTATTGCCGTAACAATTTTAGTATACAGATTAAAATAAATAATTAAGATTTACGTGCAATAAACAAATTTGTCAAATAAAGAGATATCTAAACTATCATTTTTTTTATACCTATCTGATCTAAAATACACGATCGAAAACTTGCTCTATTTCCATCTACAATCAACTGAAGGGAAAATAAACACGGATTGTATTGCAAAACGAAGGATGATCTCAGCATTATTTTCCATGTCATGAAGAATAAAAAAAACTCTCGATATTCTTGATCCTGAGATATTGACAAAGGACTCCTTCAATTGCGACTTAGCAGACTTTGTGATCCGTTCGTGTGGTTTCCCCGTAAAATCGAAGACGCCTTATAGAGCATAGGATTCAAACGAAATCCTTCGCTCGAGTAAAGAACGCGTCAGGAGGACCGCATTCGGATCCGCGAACAAAAGAAAATTTTCGAGGTGGAATCACGTTCGAGACATATGGACAGGTAAGCGTCTTTTTTCGGTGCATCTAGGATCTACTTCGTGGTACGTTGAGGCGTGGAAACAGATGTTGACAAGCAAAATCGTAAACGCGACTGGAGAAAAGAGGAAAGAGGGAGGAGAGAGAGAGAAAGAGAAGACGTTGGTTGAGGAAGAACTCGGTTTCGCGCACCATATGGCGGACCGTTGCCAAAAAGAGAGAAGCGCGGAGAAAGGATCATGTCTTCGACATATGGCGGTTGTGGATTTTTTCAATCTTTTTCACTTCGATATCGACTTGGACCGCGTACTCTATTTACTGTATCGATTCGCAAACGCTAATATTCCTCAGTACTTTAAATGTTACGAATCTTATCCGATTAAGTCATATTCCATTGTGAATATCAATCAAGATGTTCAAACTTGGCCAAAATAGCTGTTGCAAGAACATAACCGCAATAATGTAACATTAGGTTTTAACTGTAAATAGGTGAAAATTTAACCGAATCTAATACTAACCATAAACCACGGATACGAATGCTTCGTTTCGTACTTTAGTTTTTTTATAGACTTCGTTATAGACTTCACAAAATAAAAGATGTGCAAACGTGATTTTTACGCCTTTCATATTTTTGTCAGAGTATCAGAGAAAAGAGCAGATTTCCAAACCGGTACTGTTAACATTAAGTCGCACCTGTCAAGTAGTCAGTTAGAAAAAGAGAGAAAAGCAGAAAGAAACGAGGGTAGAGCACTCAGGTGGCTACCTGATCGAACTAGGGTGCTCCTAAGACGCAGTCTTTGTTGTGGAAATTTCATACTTCTCTCGCACGGTGTTTCTATACAGGTTACTCTACGTCGCCCTGACCCCGTCGATCCATGAAACCTCGACTATTACGGAATCTCGAGAATATCCTTATTACGAGAGAAGCTTTACGTGTATCCTTCGCAGAGATACATATCTATTTACATGACGCGAAACGTACGAATGAACAGAATGAATGACTTCTTTATTAATTTCATTCGTTTTTTGTATATACCGTAATACCGGTTACCTTTTATGATGCTCAATCTTTCGTTACCTACTTACGTGGGATGTTTAGCCTTAAGGCGGCTCCAGATGACATGGCCAATGTACGCCAACTTTGCGCACATTCTTTGCTAAACATTGGCCTACATTTATATAGATAATTATGAATGTATGTGCGTGTGTATGTAATATTTGCTAATGTGACATACATAATTGACCATGTCATCTGGAGCCGTCTTTATAAATTCACTAAATGTATAACAAATGTTATTACATCATTGTAGATATTTAGTATTTCGTATAAATTATTTCACAATTTAGAAAAAAAATTGCATTTGTTTTTCTTCATTTAAAAGCCTGGTTGCCAGATCCCGAGCACTATACGGCTGGGACTCAAAGGTCCGTGCGCTGGAGATTTCATATTTCGACTGGAGGCCGGCCAATTGTTTCATTAAAAAAAGAGAGAAAAAGAAAAAGGCGCAGGGTTTAATTCGTGTTTTGTGATCACTTACAGATTTTCTTTTTATTATTAATATTTGACCAACATAAAGTGTCAACACAATTACAGATCTTTTTATTATTATTACAAGATTACATGCAGTGCGAACACAATTACAAACTTTTTTATTATTCGCAAAATAACATAAACTGCGAACATAATCACAGACTTTCTTATTACTTTCCACGTAATTTAAATATGCAATTAATAAATACCCCACTCGAGCGAAAAACTGGAGATTTTTCTCGTCTACTGGAGAACTGGAGATTGGTCCTGAAAACTGGAGTCTCCAATTGAAATCTGGAGACCTGGCAACCGTGTCTAAAAGATGTATAAAATATTATCAATCTTTATTTAATTGTAAATCAAAGAGAACAATAAAAATTGTGATGTAATATTGGTATGTTAGCAATGCCCCACACGAGTTTTAATTACGTTAAAAAAAATTACGCGAGTAATATGATGTTAAACAATATATATTTAATAATAACCGAATATTTTTGTTACAGATTATTGGCGAGCTAGAAAAGTATGCGACGTGAACAAAAAGCCGCTGACAGCCACGGTAGACGTGTCGAAGCAAAATGTGGAATCGTCGAAAACAACGAAGACGATCCCTACGACAACAACGACGACTATAACGAAGACCACGTAGAAGACGTTGAACTAATCGTATATTCTGTTGCACAGACCCCGTGCACACGTGCGATTCTCTCTTATTTTGCTGTGATGGCGAAAAAATCGCCATGTTAACTTAAATGTACTAGGCGGCAAAAAACTAACCAGAAAACAGCTAGCTTGAAATTACTTAAAAAAATTAATATATTTTAGCGGATTATTAAAGTATTATTTAAATATTTTGAAAATTAATTATAAAGAACGTACTGCACAAAGAGATGATCGCCAATTAATGAAAAGTGAGCACAAATTCTTAGGCGCGGGGTTTTAACGATTGTTTGCGTAAAGCGGACTTCGTCTGCGTTACTGAAATTTGTATATTTATTCCCTTGGTCTTTCGAGTATCATATGTTATCATCAATTAATTATTGTAATAATCTTCTTTAGAATTAATTGCGACGGACGTGTTAATTAATTTTTGTAAATAATTCGTCAAGAAAGAGAGAAAGAGAGTGAGAGAGACAGAGAGAGAGAGAAAGAGAGAGAGAAATTTATGGAGGTTTGGATGGATTCATCGTCGTGAGAATCGCGATCGTCAACTAAATGCTTAAATGATTGATAAATCAATTTAGAGCAATTTATTGATATGGTTTTTAACAATATATTAAAAACTTCTCATGGCGGCGACTATTCATTGAAAGCCTGAAACGGTTGGTTCCATGACGAAGCCAACGATGCAGCGCCTCCAAAGACTAATTGATTACAAACGTCTTCGCAACTCCGCATTCTCATCGCATGAGAGACAGGAGAATGTCCTATGTACATGTTGTCTTAGAATTAAGAGATAAAATTCTCTAGTCATCTAGTCATTTAAGCTAGTAATAAACTATTGTGCTTTCATTCTTACCTATTGTGTTATTATTTCTTCACTTCCTTTGCTATTATGTTTGTATATCAGAACCATTTTATAATCATGTTGTTACTACATACATAGATAGTATGCTATAAGATAATAGTTGTATAAAAATGAAAATAGATAATTTTTTTAGCTATATAAAACATCTCTCATATTTGACTCATTAATATTCATTTTTACCAATGTATTATAGATTAACTTTAACCTCGATTTAATTTATTCTTCATCTATTTTTAATTCTTAGAACTAGAAGATAAAAAATTAAATTGAGATTAAAGGTAATCTACATTGGTAGAAAGTAGAAATAAATATTAGTATGATTTTTATATAATATTTCATATTCTATACAAGACACGTATACATAATAAACCTTCGATATTTTAAAATGATGAAAAATAAAAACAAACACATAAGTATGTATTTCTAGGCACTTTTATTTTAAAGAATAACTAAAAAAGTTTTTACAAAAAGTTATTAAACTTCTACATGAATAGTTTTAGTAGTAAGGTGTACGAAAAATCGAGCAAGTATTCCATTTCACACCAAGTGCGCTATGGAATGTTACAATATCATTATTATGTCAATAATAGTTTGCACAATTTAGTGTAAAAAATTTACGTTTGGTATTTTGATAGAATAAACTCAATAAACTGTTCTTGATATACCACCAGAAGAAAAAATCCAAAAAAATGGTAAAACGAGTCAAGAGTCGGAAAAACCATTAAAAGTACTTACGTAGAAGTTTAGTAAGACATTTTTGTAAGAAACTTTATTGCTCTTCAATAAAAATACTCAGAATTTGTATTTGTTTTTATTTCTCATTATTTCAAAATACCTGACGTTTATCGTGTATTTACACTCTCTCTTTCTATTATTATTTTTATTTATACGGCATTTTATATAAGCACGATTTAAAAATTGTGATCTTTTATGATTATTCTATGTGCACTTTTTTTCGATTAATTCAGTTGATATAAATTAATTCTACAAGCAAAAACTTAAAAACTAACCGATTGAGCAGTAATAGTTATTCCGCGCTGTATTATTGTGCTGTAATATTTGTTCCAACAATATTATCTATTATCCAAAGTCTTTTAAATTTATAACATGTTATACAGACGTTAAAAAGCGGCAGGCGAGTCGACATTATCTGATATTCCATCGACACGTTTTATAGGATAATCGACACGTGGAGGCTCGAGTCAAAATCATCGAAAATTAGACAGCTGAGCAATACGAATCGCGCTTTGTAACGAACATTTTGTAACATCCACCTGGACGCGTGCCATGGTGGTCTCTCGATGGACACATGGGGGTAAAACTATAGGGTGACACAAAAACTGTTGCGATACACACGTACGATAACCAGTTATTCATAAAATTGATCAAATATTTCAAGAATTTGGTAAGATTTTTTAATACACAGTAAGAAGAAAAGAAAAAACAATAAAGATATTGAAATAAAGTTTTATACTTTGTATGTTATATCAGAATAATACAAATAAAAAGAATGTTTCTGAAGTAATAAGTTTAACGAACATCTTTTTTATATTTTTTAAATAATTTGTGAGACAAATGTTTCTAATATGAGTCACTATATATATATATATATATATATATAATAT